TACCTCACCCTGTATATTATGATTTTTTTTAAATATATTTTTTTTAATTCCCACCTATATATAGATTTTTTATAAATTGTTTTTGAAGTAGAACTTCACTTTAATTTCTCAAAGCGAAGCTTTTTTCTGAAAAATATTTCTAAAGGACAATTTTCAAGTGGAATTTCTTAGACATTTTTTTTTTTTCTAAGGAACAGCCCCGTGGATTTTTAAAAAATATTTTTTCAGGGGAATTTGTTCCCCTGAAAAAATATTTTTTAAAAATGGCTTGAATTTTTAAAAATATTTTTTCATGGGAACTTTCCATACATGGATTTCTTTTAAATATTTTTCAAGGGATCAACTGTAGGCGTGGTTTTTTTAAAAATATTTTTTCAGGGGATCAACTGCAGGCATCGATTTTTTAAAATTTTTTTTTGAAGCTCCAATTTCCTGATAGCACGGATTTTTGTAATTTTTTTAACCTTTAAAAACCTTTAAAAATATAAAAAATCCGTGCTTGAAGTTGTTCCTTAGAATTTTTTTTAATTCCCACTTGAAAGTTGCCCTTGAGGAATATTTTTCGGAAAAAAGCTTCGCTTTGATTTCTCCAAATATTATTTAAAAATAATCCTTTGAAAATACTTTAAATAATCCTTAACTATTTTTTTCTGTTGCGAAAATTCTATAATATACCCCCCCCCCCCCCAAAAAAAATGCCACTAATTTCACATGTTTGTGAAATTTTTCAAAATAAAAAAATAAATACCACCACGAACAACAACAACAAAACATGTAATAAATTAAAAAAATAAAAAAAATCATTAAACGCCAACCTAAATCATCAGGCAAAACTAATGCGAAAAAATACATAAAATTAAGAAAAATAATAACAACAGCAGCGGCAGCAGCAACGGCAAGAATGAACACATGCAATTTATTTTAAAACAACAACCAAAACAAAATAAAACACAAAACCAACAACAAGTACCCGAGAGAGAAAAAAACAAAAACATTAAAAGAAGAAATCCCCCCGATTTCGTAGAATAATGGCTGGCTGGTTGGTTGTTGGAATGCCTGACTGCTGCTGCAGCTCTCTGATAGTTGGCGCTGGCTGGCTGGGTTGATAGCTGCCCGCCAGCCAGCCAGCTAGTCAGGCTGTTAGCCGCCGATACCACGGCTGCTGTTGTTGCTAATGATGAGTGAGTGAACTAACTGCCTAACAACTCGTCGTAGTCGCCGTCGTTACAATAGCGTGGGGTTTGCCTGGCATGTCGCTCGTTGTGGTCTTCTGTGGTCGTATTAGATAGGCCCGGCAGAGGTGCAGCACAGAGCTGCCTACCCAGCTATGTACGCCAAGCTGTGTGCCGTTGTTTATAAACAATAGAGCCACACAGCCAGCAAGCCAACAGATTTTGAGCGAAGACCAGCAGAGAACTTGTTTTTTGTTGCTGGCGTTTTAATTTTTTTTATTGAAGAACAAAAAATCGAGAATTAAAAAAAAATTAGGCGCACATATAATTAGACACAGTGGTTGTTGAAATTTGCGCATTTTTTTGGAAAAATGTTTTTGAAAATTTAGTAGAAAAAATGAAAAAAAAAAATAAAAAATCTTAAAAAAATAAAAAAATCTTAAAAAAATAAAAAAAATCTTAAAAAAATAAAACAAATCTTAAAAAAATAAAACAAATCTTAAAAAATACAAAAAAAAATATTTTAAAAAAATCCACGTCCGAATTGAATGCTTAAAAATATTCTTAAACAATTAACGTTCGTTTTTGGCATTTGAAAAGAAATTATTGGATTTTTTAACAATATTTTTTCAGGGGACCAAAAACAGGCGCGGATTTATTAAAAATATTTTTTTTTTTTCAGGATACCAACTAAAGGCATGTATTTCTTAAAAATATTTTTTTTTTTTAGGGTACCAACTAAAGGCATGTATTTCTTAAAAATATTTTTCGGGACCAACAACAGGCGTGGATTTTTTAAAAATATTTTTCAGGGGACCTACCCAGACATGGATCTCTTTTAAATATTTTTCAGGGGATCAATTGCAGGCGTGGATTTTTTAAAAATATTTTTCCAGGGAATCAACTGCTGGCGCGGATTTTTAAAAAATATTTTTTCGGGGGACCAACTGCAGGCCTGGATTTTTAAAAAAATATTTTTCCAGGGGACCAAATAAAGGTGTGGATTTTTTAAATATTTTTCAAAGAGACCAACTTCAGGCGTGGATTTTTTAAATATTTTTCATAGAGACCAACTCCAGGCAAGGATTTCTTAAAAATATTTTTTTAGGGCATCAAATACTGGTGTGGATTTTTTTAAAATATATTTGTCATGACCAGCTATGGCATGGATTTTTTAAAAATGTATGTCCCATGACCAACGACAACAATTGCAGGACTGGATTTTTAAAAAAATATTTTTTAGGGGCGTGGATTTTTTAAAAATATTTTTCCCATGACCAGCTATTGGCGTGGATTTTCAAAAATATTTTTCCCATGGCCAGCTTTTGGCGTGGATTTTTAAAAATATTTTTCCCTTGGCCAGCTATTGGCGTGGATTTTTAAAAATATTTTTCATTTGGCGTGGATTTTTAAAAATATATTTTTTTAAGGAATCAACTCCAGACGTGGATTTTTAAAAATATTTTTCCCATGGCCAGCTATTGGCGAAGATTTTTAAAAATATTTTTCCCATGGCCAGCTATTGGCGTGGATTTTTAAAAATATTTTTCCCATGACCAGCAATTGGCGAGGATTTTTAAAAATATTTTTCCCAAGACCAGCTATTGGCGAGGATTTTTAAAAATATTTTTCCCATGGCCTATTGGCGTAGATTTTTAAAAATATTTTTCCATTGGCGTGGATTTTTAATAATAATTTTCCATTGGCGTGGATTTTTAAAAATATATTTTTTTAAGGAATCAACTCCAGACGTGGATTTTTTAAAAATATTTTTCCCATGGCCAGCTATTCGCGTGGATTTTTAAACATATTTTTCCCATGGCCAGCTATTGGCGAAGATTTTTAAAAATATTTTTCCCATGGCCAGCTATTGGCGTGGATTTTTAAAAATATTTTTCCCATGACCAGCAATTGGCGAGGATTTTTAAAAATATTTTTCCCATGACCAGCTATTGGCGAGGATTTTTAAAAATATTTTTCCCATGGCCAGCTATTGGCGTGGATTTTTAAAAATATTTTTCCATTGGCGTGGATTTTTAATAATAATTTTCCATTGGCGTGGATTTTTAAAAATATTTTTCCATTGGCGTGGATTTTTAAAAACATTTTTCCATTGGTGTGGATTTTTAAAAATATTTTTCCCAAGACCAGCTATTGGCGCGTTTTTTAATATTTTTCCAAGACCAGCTATTGGCGCGTTTTTTTAATATTTTTCCCAAGACTTTTGGCTCGTACTTTTTAAAAATATTTTTCCAAGAGACCATCTCCAAGCGTGGATTTTTTAAATATATTTTTATGGGACAAGCTATGTGTTGTAAATGTCAAAATAATACTTTATACATTTCTACTGTATGTGATTGTTTTATATTATAACATAGCAATCCTAGATTTTCTGTATGTTCAAGAAAATATTTTCATACATTTTATTGTCAGTCTCTTAATAAATTTTCATTCATCTACACATAAAAAGTTGGCGTTTACAATTGTATTCCTCGGAGTCATCAATTTGCAATACTATGGAATTTTTATGGGACAAGCGTTGATTTTTGAAAAATACTTTTTCAGAGTATCAACTCCCGGCATGAATTTTTTAAAAAATATTTTTATGGGACAAGCTATAGGGGTGGATTTTTAAAAATACTTTTTCAGAGGATCATCTCCTGGTGTGGAATTTTTAAAAATATTCTTTCCTAGGAACCAGGCTTGTATTTTAAAAATATATTTTTTTCCAAGGGACCAGGCTTGGATTTTTAAAAAAAAATATTTTCAGGAGATCAACTCCAAGCATGGATTAAAAAAATATTTTTCTAAGAAACCACCTCCAAACATTTTGCAGGGGATCAACTCCAAGCGTGGATTGGAAAAAAAAAATTAAGAAACATTTTTCAGGGGACCAGCTGCAGGCGTGGATTTTTTAAATATTTTTTCGTTAGTTTTTTTTTTAATACTTTTCCAAGAGACTAACTCCCGTCATAGATTTCTTAAAAATATTTTTTCATGCGTGACGTTTCTATGACCAACTATTTGCGTGGATTTTTTAAAAACTATTTTTTATGGGACAAGCTATAGGCGTTGAATTTTTAAAAATATTTTTCCTGGGGACCAGGCGTGGATTTTTTTAAAATATTTTTGTTAGGTGACTGGTCTTTTTTTGATTTTGATGATTTTTTTGATGATTTGAGAAGAAATATCCAAAAAAATCCCATCGCCAATTTTTCGCCTTAAAATGTATGACATCAGTAACATAAAATGTCTTCAAGTTTTTCCCTTCTCCTCCTGCCAAAGGGGACCATAAAAGCCCAACAACAAAGTAAAGGAGATCAAAATGGGAAAAAATCGCAAAATAAAAGGAGAAAAAAAAAAACAAAAACTGGAAACAAGCTAAAAAAACATAAATTTCCTACAACAGATAAAGGGGCGAGTGGTGGCAGGATGGCAACTGCGTTGCGTTAGAGCTTAGTGAATGATGCTCTGGCTAGCTCCAGCTACACATGGTGGCAGGCAGGAAGTCAGGAGCAACTAAGCTTTGCAAAAAAATACAAGATGAAAATAAAATAAAACAAGTTACTACTTAACAAGCGAAGAAGAGGAGGAGAAGGAGGAGAGGAGGGGGAACAGCAACTGAGGAGTTGCAAAGAAGTTGCTTTTTGTGTGACTTTTTGTAATCTTTTTTGTTTTGTGCGAATGGAACTCCTCTATTACCCCGCCAGTGGCACAAGTGGCCGACCAGAGTACCTGGCCATCAGGCACACTCACCGGTGGCTCTTTATGTTTATTGGGTGGTTGTTTCATTCATTCGTTCGTTCGCTCACTTCGATTCGTACTTACCTAAATCAGCTACTCGAATACCAAAACAATTCATATCCTTATTAAGTTGCTGCGACAAAGGCAATGTGGAGGAACTCGTTAAAGAAGGCGGAGGACCAGGTGGTGGCGGTGCCGTTGTTTCCTGTGGCCGTTTGCGGGCGACGGCAATGCCAATTGGCACAGTATTATCTGCAAAAAAAAAAGAAACAACAACAACATTAGGAAAGACGGAAAGTATAAATTTTAAATTAAATTGCCAATTTCAAACGAGTGGCCTAACAAACGAACAAGCCTACATACAAAACTTGGTGTACGAGGCGGACCACTTGCCTTGCCCTCCTGCGTATTGCAGGAGTTGTGTATATTTGTTAATAGGACATTTATATGATAATGATAATAGTTTTTTTGTTTTTTTTTTTATTTAGATTTTAGATAAAATTAATTGTCTAGTAAATATTTATATATTTTATGAAATAAAAAAACGGAAATTTATGAAACTTCTGGAGAGGAGGGAAGTAGAAGGATATGTTTAAAAACACCAGCAACAGCAGGCGTGGAATTTTTAAAACTATTTTTATGGGACAAGCTATAGGTTTTTCAGGGTGCCAACTACAGACATGGACTTTTTACAAAATATTTTTTCAGGGGCGTAGATTTTTTTTAAAATATTTTTTTAGGGCATCAACAACAGACGTGGATTTTTTAAAAACATTTTTTCAGGGCGTGGATTTTTAAAAAAATAGTTTTTTTCAGGGGACTAACTATTGGCGTGGATTTTTAAAAAAATAGTTTTTTCAGGGGACTAACTATAGGCGTGGATTTTTTAAAAATATTTTTCAGGGGACTAACTATAGGCGTGGATTTTTTTAAAATATTTTTCAGGGGACTAACTATAGGCGTGGATTTTTTAAAAATATTTTTCCAAGGGACCAGCTATAGGCGTGGATTTTTTAAAAATATTTTTCCAATGGACCAGCTATAAGCGTGGATTTTTTTAAAATATTTTTCAGGGGAGTAACTATAGGCGTGGATTTTTTTAAAATATTTTTTCAGGAGACTAACTATAGGCGTGGATTTTTTTAAAATATTTTTTCAGGGGACTAACTATAGGCGTGGATTTTTTTAAAATATTTTTTCAGGGGACTAACTATAGGCGTGGATTTTTTTAAAATATTTTTTCAGGGGACTAACTATAGGCGTGGATTTTTTTAAAATATTTTTTCAGGGGACTAACTATAGGCGTGGATTTTTTTAAAATATTTTTTCAGGGGACTAACTATAGGCGTGGATTTTTTTAAAATATTTTTTCAGGGGACTAACTATAGGCGTGGATTTTTTTAAAATATTTTTTTCAGGGGACCAACAACAGGCGTGGATTTTTTAAAAATATTTTTCAGGGGACCAACAACAGGCGTGGATTTTCTAAAAATATTTTTTAGGGGACTCACTACAGGCGTGGATTTTCTAAAAATATTTTTTAGGGGACTCACTACAGGCGTGGATTTTCTAAAAATATTTTTTAAGGGACTCACTACAGGCGTGGATTTTCTAAAAATATTTTTAGGGGACTCACTACAGGCGTGGATTTTCTAAAAACATTTTTTAAGGGACTCACTACAGGCGTGGATTTTCTAAAAACATTTTTAAGGGACTCACTACAGGCGTGGATTTTTCTAAAAATATTTTTTAGGGGACTCACTACAGGCGTGGATTTTTCTAAAAATATTTTTTAGGGGACTCACTACAGGCGTGGAATTTCTAAAAATATTTTTTTCAGACGATTAACCTCAGGCGAGGATTTTTTAAAAATATTTTTCAGGGGACTAACTATAGGCCTGGATTTCTTAAACTACAGGTGTAGATTTTTAAAAATATTTTTTAGAAGACTAGCTACAGGACTGAATTTTTTAAAAATATTTTTCAAGGGACCTGATAAATGTGTGTTTTTTTTAATATATTTTCGGGGGACCTGGTAAAGAAGTGGATTTTTTTAAATTTTTTTCTGGGATTACAGGCGTGAATTTTATAAAAATATTTTTCCCATGACCAGCCATGGCATGGATTTTATAAAAAACATTTTTTAACGAACCAAATACAGACGTGGATGTTATAAAAAAACTTTTATGGGACAAGCTAGAGGCGGAGATTTTTAAAAATATTTTTTGCATGGCCAGCCATTGCGTGGACATTTTAAAAATATTTTTGAAGGATTTTTAAAAATATTTTTTGAAGGATGATGAAAATGTTTATAAGATGAAAATGTTTATAAGTGCGGTTGTAAGATTTAGAAGACTTTCCAAAAGAATTTTAGTTTTATATAATTCTTTGGTTCCTCTTCTATTGAGCTTACGATCTCGTCACTTGGGTAAAAAATGTTTTTTGTCATAGAAGTTATTTTTAAAATAACTTCTGGGGAGAATATCCCAGACAAAAACAAGGGAACTGATGAGGATTGGTGGCTCTTTCCGAAACCTAGGTATTCCCTGCCTTACCCTTATCTGGATTTTTAAAAATATTTTCTTCAAAGAACAGGCGTGGATTTTTTCAAAAATATTTTTTCAATGGCCTGATAACGGAGTGGACTTTTTAAAAATTGCTTCTATAAAAGACAGGCGTGGCTTTTTAAAAATATTTTTTCAAGAGACCACATCCGAGCTTCGATTTTTTTTTAAATATTTTCAGGGGATCAACGCCAGACGTGGATTTTTAAAAAATATTTTTTCAAGAGACCAGCCATGGCGTGGAATTTTTAAAATTGTTTTTTTTTAATATTTTCTTCAAGGGACAGGCTTGGATTTTTTAAAAAATATTTTTTTCAATGGACCCGATATAACGGAGTTGATTTTTTAAAATTAGTTTCTTTTAAGACGGGCTTGGATTTTTTTAAAAATATTTTTCCTTCAAGCTTGGATTTTTTTTTAAATATTTTTGCAGGAGAACAACTACAGGCGTGGATATTTATTTTTTCGGGGGCACCAATTAATTTGGTGTATTTGAAAAAATCAAAAGAACACCTTCAAGCTTGGATTTTTTTAACATATTTTTTAAGGAACCTATTATAACTGGGCATTTTTTTAATATTTCTTCAAGGGACTTTTTTTAAATATTTTCTTTGTTCTTGTCTAAAAAAGCTCACTTTTAACTTTTCACCACAAAACATTTTAATATTTAAGATTTAATGTACAAAAATCCCCCTTCAACATCCATTCCCAAACAAGCATAGCACTTGACAAAAAAGTAAGTGAGCATCAGCCAACAACAACGACAACAACAACAATTGTAGTCATGCTTGTAATCGACATAGCTATAGCAATTATCGTCGTCATCGTTATTATTATCTCTTTTCGAATTCATTTAATTTCTATCTTCGCATGACTTCTGTTAACTGTCTTTCTGTTTTTTCTACAGTCTGAGGTCCTTTATATACCCAAATATATATGTATGTGTATATGTATAAGATTTCTTAAAGTGGATGTTAAGTGTCCACTTTCAGTTTTCGTCCTTTGCCTTTTTCCTTCTCATCCTGAATATGTTTTCGACTACGATAGCGATAGGAACCAGGAAGAAAAATTCAATTTTAACAATCTTCTCTTTTTTCGTCGTCGACATTGTTTTTCCCAACATTTTAGCCTCTCTAGAGCAGGGTTGTCATCGTTGATATTTTGTTGTTTAACAAAAATCTAAAATCTTTTATTAGAAAAGTCATCAATGGGAGCATATATAAACTTCCGTTCCTTTCCTCGTCTATAAAGACTGCCTTCTTCAGCGCCTAATGAGATTTTTTTATTTTGCATGACTCACACTTACATTTTATGATTTATTTATCTATAAAATTCTATTTATCCGTTTGTCCATAAAAGCTACATACTTCAGCTCGTTTCTCAAAATTACCTTTTTTTGATATATACCTTGTCTACAAAAAGACAGTCCATCTTAAAAATATTCTCTGCATCAGTCTGTCTAAGAAGACTTTCCATCTCGACCCGTCTATAAAAACTAGCTTCCACATTTCATTTATAAATGTTTTCATATTGGCTAGCGTCCACCCTACACGATAACTATCGAAGGGAGCATCGATTTGATTCCAACTTCGCACATCGTAGTATTATTGTCAAACTTATATCAAGTTCGGAGATGGGGAACTTAGATACGCTCCTTGTGGTGCCTCCCCCACAGAAGATAAACTTTTTCACAAAAAAAAAAAAATGTTTTGTTGTATACAAAAACGGATCATCCAATTTTGTTGAAATTTTTCAAATCCCAATATTTGTATCAGTGCCTCCCAAACAAAGGGTCAACATTTGGAATAATTATAACTTTTATAAAATACGAAATAAGCATCCGACTCTCTTCAAATTACACACATCCCAATATTGTTATCAACATATTATCAGGTGTGAAGATGGAATATAGCGGTCTACTCCTTCTGGTATCTCCCCCACAAAAGGTCCACAATTTTGAATAGCCAAAACCCCCAAAAAATTATTTAAATATTCTTGGTAAGGCCCCATAAGGCCAAAAAATAAGACAATTAGGATGCCTCTAAGAATTTTTTTGAAAAATTCAAGCTTTAAAATATATATAAAAAATGATCGTTGTAAGGCATCTAGTTCGACTCCAAAAAAACCATTAAAAATTCACATTATACGGTCTTTCAGATGCTTTTAAAAATTGTTTCAAAATTGAAGTTTTAGCTCATTAAGTGTACCTCCAAAAATTATTAAATATATATACTTTTTAAGACCCTTAAGGAGCCTCCAAGAACTCTCCAGAAAATCAACGCTGTCAGACCTTTAGGATGCCTCTAAAATTCTTTTAAGAAATTCACGGTGTAATGCCTTTAGGGTGTCTCCAAAAATTCATTAAAAGCTAACTTTGTACTACCTTAAGGGTGCTTCCAAAAATTCTTTAAAAATAACCACTCAGACAAACCTTGAGGAGGCCTTCAAATTTCTATGAGAAAAATCCACGTTGTAAGGCATTTATGTTTGGATCCAAAAATGCATTTAAAAATCCCCATTGTAACCATTAGGGACCCCCTAAAAAATTCTTTACAAATATCCACGTAATAAAGCATTATGACGCCTTCAAATTTCTATAAAACAAAAAACTACGTTGTAAGGCCTCTATATTTGGCTCCAAAAATCCATTAAAAATTCACATTCTAAGGCCCTTTCTTCCTCGAAAGT